GTCATCGGGCATGGTGGCGTGCGCTTTCCTGGCTAAAAGTTTTCCACTCAGTCCGGTTAACTTCAGCACAAGGAAATGTTACATACAAAGGCAAGATAATCGGTAGAGGGGCGCTCGACAGCGTACATCATATGGTGCCCAAATCTCGCGTGAGCTGAGAACGGGCTTTGAGTGCCGTTGCCATTTGCAGAACTCTTGCTTGCCAACGTAAGCACCGTATCACAACAATGTTTACAACCGGCGGCATGCAATATTGAATGCCCGCCGGTTGCCGATCGCCGCTGACACTTCAAGATTGACTTCGACGAGACAAAGAGGTGCCCTTGACAGTGTTGGCGACACGCCGAAACGCAACCTGTCTGGAATGTCGCCACTGGGGAGCAAGGCCTGGAGTGTATTGCAGTTGTGTTACAGTGTATTACAGTATTACAGAGTATTGCAGTTTTGCGGTCTACTAAACGGGGGATCGGCACGGGGAGCAACTGCATAGCGCATCGGTACTTGATGTCCCTACACACCGTGCAAGTGCCTACGCGTGAGGCGGCAAGAATGCCTTGCAGCAGTATGACTGTCCAAAGAATATTCGACAGCAAGCAGCTACGGCGCAGTGCTGCGGGTGCGCCCTCCATGAGATACCCAGATTCTGTCATTTCCGCCAATGTTCTAGCTCAGCGTGGCAACGCAACGATGAGACAATGCAACGGGTGCAGAATTCCTTTAACCCTAATGGTACTACGTCACTGTATGATATTCCCGTTATAGAATTGTACGTTGACAGGAATCTACATTCAGTGGAGGCAAACCCACATAGTTTCAGTTGGTTCTAATGAATGGAAGGCAACCGAATCTGCTTTGACCTAACGAATCTGAAGCGCAGAGTGACGCCATTTACTGAAGTTCAATGGACCCATCAGAATCACAGCCATGCAAAATTGGCGCAGAACTGGAGCTAATTCGGCTGTGAATTTGAGAGGAAATGCGAGGTCGACGCATCGTCCTTCCTTCGAAGAAGATATGGTTGCTGGACACAGCAAGTCTTCAAGCAACATCCCGCACATGAACGTTGTACCTAACCACTCTCCTAGCGCACGCAATAGCACTTTCTCATGCACATTCCGTCGAATCTGGTTGACAGGCTTTCCTATTGGGCACTCGCGTATCGTATGGTGCAAGGCATGGGTAAACACACCGCCACATACATACAAATATCCATACAACACAGGTTGGTGGTAACCCCATGCAAAGGTGTGCAGCGGCAAATCCAGGTGATTGTGCTGGGTGACTTGCTGGCGACATACGTCCCTAGAAACGTGGTAAAAGTTTAGCCCCCTCCGCAGGAATCTGTTACAACGCCCTTTTCTCTGAAATGGCGTTGGTGCACTGCAAGGTGCACAGAGTGGTAACAACTCAGCAGCGTGGCAATTTGCCAATCGCATTCTGCTGCAATAAACTGGAATACTGCCATCATATAACCGATGACCCATCTTAAAGTCATGGGAGTATATGGATGCTAATTGGGACCCGCAGTGCAGTAGTGGCTCTTTCGACTGTGGGGCTGAGGGGGAAGGAAGTCGTCGATTTTCATGTTGAGGCCATGGCCAGTGGCCACTGGGCGGGTTTCTTTCCAGATCAGGTTCTTGCATTTTGGACAAACGGTCCGAGTTGAGGACCCTCAGGTTCTGCATTTTGGACCATCTGAAGATCTTGAGGACCCTTAGACCCGTTGTTGCAAGCCAGCCATCTGAAATCTAATTTAGAACAAATTGCCAATTTCTGTACCGAAAACGAAATTACTTACAACGCTTGGTCACGCTTGGACCTCACGCTTGGTCCTGTCTTGCAGCTAGCTCAGAAGTCCATACTATCTTTTCCAACATCTTTTCTATCATTTGAGATGTCACCACTCTCAGGACAATGCGACTCACAGCCCCACAATCCGTTAGCCACATCTGCAGATTGTCCACTCTTTCACCACAATGCTTTCATGATTTTTCCCTTCTTGCACAATTCCTTCACAGCGCCATGACCTCCAGGCAATGGTTTGCGGACGCGAAATTGTGCAGCGGCAACACGCATGAAAGATTTGCGATAATTCGACGGTCTGGGGCGTGCCAGATTTCTCTTGCTTAGGTATGCAGAAAACAACTTCAACTTCAAGAGCATTGGTGAAATAACCATGTCCCCATGGCTGTTTGCAACCATGCGCCTGCCGGATCGTGCATATATTGTCAAGAACTTGGCCACCCTGGGGACTGGGTCAAGGTTATTCATCACATGGCATGTGTCTGGGACATTCTTTTTGTGCTGCAAGTGAACTGTTTCAAACCCTGGGGCAACCGAAAGTGTAGCATGACAATTTCTGGGGAGACACATGGCAAAGTCTGGCAATGTCATGAGCAGCCAAGACGGCAATCGCACCACCAAGAGAGTGCCCACACACCAATATCCTCAAGTTCTGTTGTCCAATTGTGCGCTCTCCATTATCTCGCGCACCTTGGCAAGCGCCGTTTGATTGAAATTTTCACCCATCCATGACTCTAAAAAACCCTTGTGGGACAGTGGATAAGTGTCGCGCCACATACAACCAAGTGTAGACTGATGCACTGTCCTCCAAATTTTGATGTCTGCCAGCACGTTTGCTACGCTGTTGGTCCCACGGAAGCACAAGCGAATTGTCCCACTTTCATGCCATGCCACCATTGCGTGGGCATCCATCACAGCTGTATCCGAGTATTGTAGAATATTCAACCCTTCCGCATCAGAAATTTCACCGTTACGCTTTTTGACCCGCATTTTGTTTTCAGAGCATTATTTTATGTTTTTCACGTTGCTCCACACAGAAAGACCAAGATTTCCGTTACTAGTAATACTGTTTTCTCCGCAAAAAAGGCCAAGCGTTACGTTACTATGCGGAAGGGTTTAATACTTTGCAGTACTTAAAGCGTGTGAGCCCATACAGAGAAAATCCTGTTAAAAGATCCCAGGGTGGCTTGGCTTGCCCAGTCTTGAGGTTGCATTCCTAAACTAAATCACAGCAGCAGGCGATCTTCACGGCTATTTCGAAGCGAAGCAAACACTGCCAACCTATGGCGTCTTCAAGCAACCCGGGCTCCTCCAGAGCATTACCACACTTTTTCCACCCACATTGGCCTGCACAAAAGCGCTCTCACTGGACCGGTGTGTTTGTGAATCGTGGGCAGCATCAAGGTGGAGCTCAATGCAAGCGCATGTCCCATGCAAGACTCGATCCGAACAAACCCCAGAAGGGCCACCGACGGCACCGTGAACAGAACGAGTATGCCCACAACTCTGAAAATCAGCCTCAGCAAAATGTTCTCCCATCTGAGCTGGACGTAGATCCTCTTCGAAAACAGGACGAAGGCCCTCCTCATGAAATACAGGAAGCCCAACAAGTAGCCAGCGCGGGTGGCAACAATCAGGAAGATCACAAGCGCGCCTTCCCTGTGGAACTTGTACCCGCCCCCACTCGTGTCCAGCCCTTCCCCGCCGGGCAGGCACGCCTCCCCCCACAGCACCCCCACCCTCGCGACCACCAAGTACCAATCGCTCGCCCAGACGCGCAGAAACTGGAGCAGAAAGATAAGCATCCAGCGCCGACGCCTGCCCGCCCACCGCAGGCCCGTCCTCCGCGCCTCCCTTGGGCGCCAAACGAAGACAACAAGGCAGATGCTCAGCAGCGACGCGCCCAGCGCCGCCACCTCCCACCCGACGATCGCCGCCGGCCCGGTCGTGCGCCGGCTGTCGAACGAGCGCGACATCTTCATCCCCAGCAGGGCGAACAGCATGGCCGCACACGCGCCAATCGCCGCGTAAACCGCCCGGAAGAGGCGCCTCATCGACGCGTCGAACAGGGTCTCCAACAGGGGCACGATTTCGATCGCCGAATCGTCCGATCGGGTGCTGGCCGCTTGTAACCATCGTCCGGGTCGGATTCATCGCCGCGATGGCTTGCCGCTGTCCACTCGCGGCATGCGACGGGCCCATCGACGGACCCCGTTTTGCCAGCGGCCGGGGCTGTCATGGGTCGCCCCGGTTTGGCCGCGCTCAACGCGCCTGGCGGCCCGGTGAAGGTGGCATGGAAAGGGAGGGGGGCAGACTGGCGCCCAGCCTTCCGGTGGGGCATGGGTTGGTGGGTGCGTTGATTGGTCGCCTGTAGGCCTCGCGGTGAAAAGGCTGCGGTGACCGTCGGAAGCACCCAGGTCTCAGCGAGACGGTGACGGAGGCAGTGACGCAGACGAGAATAGTCGAACACATATTAGTCCCTCTGTCTTCCGTGACGATCCTTGTTCTTGCGCGGGCAAGGCCAACGCCGATCAGTGGGTCAGTGGTTTTAGGGTCCAGGGTGTCCGAAACAAGAAAGGATCTTGGCGGAAAAGACGGAGGGACTGGTTTCATGCCGACGGAGACTGAGACGGGTCACACTTGGGAACTTTAGGTCGTTTTTTGGGTTTCCGAGAGGGTGACGGAGACTGAGGCGGGTCCGGGTTGGGCGGTAGGGCGTCAGGGTCTAGGTGTCACACTCTGCATGTACTGGGCCTCTGTCTCCGTCACGTCTCCAGGCTCACGGCCCGTCTCATCGACACTCTCAGTGGGCATGAAATTGTTCCCTCCGTCCTTTTAGTGATTGTCGATTCTTGTTTTGACAACCCAAACCCTGAAAATCAATGAAAACCCACCGACCAACGTTGGTCTTGTCAGCAGCAGAAGAAAGGATTTTCAGCAAATGAAGTGGGTTCTAACATACTTTCCTCGTGGTCCCCGCCACACCAAACGTGCGCGGGTATCCCCGCACAAACCAACAAAAATCACAAAGCGCACCGCCAAAAAGCCCGACCGCGCTGGCGTGGCGGCCGACGCGGACGGCGCTCACTGTTCCAGGGCAGGTCCGGGGCATCACAACCCGCCCAGCGATCTGCACGCCCACTGCCCCCCCCCTCCCCCTTTCCCTCCCCCCCTTCCTACGCAGCCACCCCCTCGCCATGCAGGCCGCCCTGCACGGCGCCCCCCTGCGGGCGCGGTGCCCCGCTGCCCCCGCCCGGCCCCACGCCTCGATCCGTTCCCAGATGCCCCAGGATCCGCCCTCCAGCTCATCCCGCCCGTCTGGGCCACCGACTGGCGATCTCTCGATCGATCGCCGGACGGCATTTCTGGGAATGGGCGCGGCGTCTGTGGCCCTGGCGGTGGACTTGGCGGTGGGGGTGCCTGTCGCCGGGGCGGAGGACATGGAGACGTTTTTTGGGTACGCCACGCCGCCCACGAGCTACGGGGGTTATGGAGGGAATGCAGACGAGCCGCCGAAGTACAAGTTCCAGTACCCGGCGTCGTGGAAGCCGCAGACGGTGAACAAGGTGCAGAAGGGGACGCAGGGGATCGACAGGTGGGGTGCCGGCGCGTGCGCCGGAAGATGGGCGGGGGTGTGGGGAGTTGTTGCAGGGCAAGAGCAGCGGGTCGTGAAAATGGCAACCCCTCCTCCTCAGCAAGTGTATGCGGTACTCTTTTTGCCATGCTGTAAGGAGGTGATGTTGAGTCCCCGGTGGGAATGAAGAGCACACGTTGCAAGCGACGCAAAAGCCAAGAAAGGAGGGGGGGGGGGGGGATTGGGATGGGATGCCTGTGGCGTGGTAAGATTTGTTACACAGAGAAAGAATGCCAAGGGGCAAAGGGCAGCCCCTCCTATGCAAGTGGCGGGGATTGATGCGGGGACGTCGAAATGGTCGGGATTATGGAGAAAGATTTCATGCAGAACGGAAGCGCATGATGGCGCAGGAATGGGCCATCGCGGTAGGGCGTGCGCAGCCGCTCATGTTGCTGTTGAGTCCGGAAACGTTGCGGGGAGCGTAGCGCGAGAGCTGCGCAGCCGGTCGCGGTGCCGCGCAGCGCGGAAATGTGGCACTGAATGGTGCAGGGCTTGCGGTGACCGTCGCGGAAGGGGTGGGTTGGGTGTCGTGTGTGGTGTGGGCGCTGACCCGTTGGGTCTGTTGCGTGGGTCAGCATCATCGTCAACCCACGGAACAAGAGTAGCGTGATGTTCGTCATCGCCCTGGGGCGGGCTGGCGAGGACGACAAGTCATTCAAGCTCACCGACGTGGAGACTACCTTTCAGGTACCTCCCACTGTTCTGTATGTGTTCCCAAAACCTGTTTTCCTTTCCTGCTTGATTAGTTAGAGATGCTGCGCCCACCTGTGCAGCGCTGTGGCACATGATCCGCTGCCGCATGCCAGGTGATCTCCTTGTTGTTCTGCTGGAAGAAAGGCAACTCTGCGCAGACTCTTGCTCAACAGTGGGCTGTCCACTGTTTCCAATTCCAATTTATTTAATTTAGTTCCCAGTTTGTTATTTATTTATTTAAGAAGGCATGCCCTTTTGACCAAGCTGGCGATGTCGGACAGCCCACTGTGTGAACATGTTGCCTGTGCATTGGACCACAGCCGTCATTCCCTGTCACATTGTTGGCTTAATGTCCCATGCGTAGCATTGCTGGATCGCATTAGTGGACCACAGGTGGATTGATGTCGCACAAACTCCACAGACGTATCCACACTGTTTGCGAAACATTCGTGAGTGGCTCACGCAGCCAGTCATGGCGTGGTGTGTTTGGCCAGACAGCAGCAAGATGCAGAGTGTGTAGAAGATGCAGAATGCAAAGCATGTACACAACACAAAATATGGTGCATGTTCAACACAATGCACAGAAGAGACCAGGTCTCAAATATCCAGCCCTGTAGCGCTGCGTTTCGTTCTGGATAGCTTCCATCGTTGTGTACAAGTAAGCCAGCTGCAAAGCCCATGAATGCCAGTGTCTTCATCTCAACAATTGTGCACAATGCATTGTGCAAATGCATCAAGCCTTCAGTGTCCTTCCCTGCACTCGCAGGGATTCGTGGGCGCCGACTACGAGCTCCAGGACGCGGTCCAGAGCGCCAGCAGCATAGCCAGGACGAGTCGGGAGGTGGGCGGGGAGCCCTTCTACGACTACGACATCGACTCACCCAATGTCCATGTGCTCTCCACAGTGACTGTGCGCGGAGGCAAGATCTTCGCGTTCATCATCAAGGTGCCCACAAGGCAGTACGAGTCCCAGCCTGGCACATTCAAGACTGCACTCACATCATTCCGTACACTCTGATCATCGCACGTGGCTTGGCGAAACTGGCACGCAGGGGAACCCAGGGTCCCGCCACATGCATCCATTTTGTGGCTGCCGGCCATGCTCCGTTCTGGCAACGAGCAGCATCTTCTCCATTTTTGAGAAATGTGAGCATTGTGGACGTGCTTCAGCAGGTGGGTCAAAGGCAGCAGGTGGTCCGTTCGCTTGGAACCGCATTGGTGAGGGGGGGCTGTTCCTGTTGGCCAGGGTAAGAAATGTTGACGCAATGGGTCAGGATCTGGTGTGACGGATTTTGATCAAGCAGGGTCTGGGGCGACAAGATGTGGGCAGAGAGGCTGCGGGGGCAGCCAGAGCTCCCATGGGGGCTCCCAGGGGGGGGGGCCTTTGCTTGAGGACCATGCCGCCTTTTGTTCCGCGGAACTGTTCGCCGAGGAACGACAGCATGATGAACACATGGCCTGCTTCATGTTGAAAGCAACACAATCTTCAATCGCGCTATTTGACTGGGTGCCTGAAACACCAGCAAGGCAACAGGCGATGGTTCCTAGTAGACCAATGGATGGGCGGTCACCTCATCCTCGCGTCAGTGACAACGCCAGCATGAGCTCAGCAGAGGTGATCGTTTAAGAGATCCCTTTCAAAGGGACAAACAATTGATAATTTTTGAAAGGCCGTCCACCCTGCCAATGCACCGAGAGTTTGGACCCATTATTTTGCACGAATAGTCGCTGGTGTTTTGCTTACAAGGCTGGTATCTTGAGAGTTTTGGAAGTCTTAGCCTGAACATTCAAAATTCCTGCCAAGGTTCTCTCTGGCGGGTTTCTCTCCACACAATGCAAGACGTCCAAATAGGCGCAGGGAGCGAAAGTAAAGCCAACATACATAAAGAAACGAAAAAAAAATAGAACAAATACAATATGCATAGTTATGGATATACACTTACATATACATATAGAAATACACTTAGAAATAGAGCTAGAAATAAAAGTAGAAACACAATGGGCACAAAGCAACGACAAACACATCGAAGCGGCGGAAGAGAATCTGGAATGACAACAGCGGACCTCAAAATGTGCCGATTCCCATCGCTGGCAAGCGACAAACAACGACATCCGTACAAATCCCACCACGCTGCGCACATAAATCCCAACGTCCAAAATCTGAACAGCCTCCTTCGGCCAAAGCCCAAGAGGGAGAAAGAAACACACAAGCACCGCCACCACCTCCCAACTCCCCCCCCCCGCCCCTAAAAAAAACATGTCCCAACCGACACGATGGGGCTGGTGCGCTCGCACTCAGGTGCGAATCCTACACTCCAAACATGCAATCCACCGTCGGCAAAACAAATCTCGACGCTAACGACCCAATTTCAGCGCAAAGGGCGGACAATAACACCCTCAGACATCCACCGCACCGCACGACTGCGCCCCGACCTTCCGAACGCAACGCGTGCAACATGGTGCCAAAAGAGCACGGCTGAAATGGCGCAAGTCTTAGTACTTTGCACTTCTTTTCGTCACCACCTTTCCCTGAGCGGCGGCCTCACACCGTGGTGGCCTCCTCCGACGCGGGCTCCTGCGCCTTATCCTCCCCACCCTTTTCGCTCCCGTCCTCCCCCCCCTCGGGCTCCAACTTGGCGGGCTGGAAGACGTACACGTTGTAGATGACGTTGCGCCGCTTGCGCGCCATCATGTCCATGAACAGGTTGTAGCCCTCGAGCTTGAACTCCGTGAGGGGGTCCCTCTGGGCGTAGCCCCGCAGGCCCACGGCCTGCTGCAGGAACTTCATGGACTGCAGGTGGTCCTTCCAGGTGCCGTCGATCTGGCTCAGCACGAAGAACCGCTCCACCTCCTGCATCAGGCCCTCCTTCAGGGCCTCGATCATCTTGTACTGCGGAACGGGGGGCAAATGTGAGTGACGTCATCTGACAGCGCACCATTTCAGGGAAACAGCGGTACAAGGAAGTACTGTAAAGTACTGAGACTTGCGCCATTTTGTCGCACAAGTGCTGTGAATCATGTGAGGCAAATGCGGCACAAACAAGTACAATAAAATACTAAGGCGCGCACCGCTTTTCCCAATGTACTGTTGTTCCGCTGTCACAGCAGAAAGCGACATCGTTGTATATATGCAGGTATATTGGCGCCAGTTTTCCATTTAGTAAAGCTGGGGGCGGCACTAAGTTCAGCGTACAAGGCACGAAAACAGCATTTTCTCAGTAAGTTAAATCGTCTTCACGGAATCGTGCGTCAAAGGAGGCAAGGAGGCGCCGTCAGTTTCGATGCACTGATCGATGAAGGGAAACGCCGGAAGGAAGCGGCCTTTCAATTCGGGAATTCAATGCCAAAGGATATCGAGCTGCACAGGCAAAACAGCTTAATGTTGACGAGCCGATATTGAATATCCTTGCGCGAGAATTTCGCATCCGGACATAAAAAACGACTGAGACATTCTTGAGCAGCAGAAAGCCGTTTTCGAGCACTTGGCATGCTCCTAGTATGTGTAGTACACCTAGCATACTTCGAAAACTCAGTATACCCACTACTGTTCGATGCAGACACGCGAATCCACTGACAATTCTCCAGAACAAAAAGCGAAAGCTACTCGAAAAGTACAGAATAACGCCAGCAAAAATGAAACGTTCAAAATGCGACTAGGTGCAAAAAGAACGCAAAATGGTGATGTCCCCCAACACATGACAACCGCGTCCTCCACCTTCTGCTGGTAGGCATCTACGCCCCTGGCTCTCAGGTAGTCTCTGAGCTTCTCGTAGTCGCCTTCACACTCGGACGCGAGCACCTGCCCGTTCAGGTCAGCCATCATGTAGCAGTACTGCTTCATCTTGTCCGCCAGGGCCTCCAGCAGCGGCACCCACTCCTCGGGCGGGGTAGCAGGGTCGATGTTTGCCTGCACGCATTTTGGCAACGACGGCTGAATGCACAGGTAGGCCAGTCGACCGATCATTCAGTAAAGACCCGCACACGCTCTGGCAGCAGCAGGCAAAGGAACCAGCGGGCAAACCAAGCGACAGATCAATCAGTTGAGATGCCCACTGTGCGATGCTCCAACTCGACGGGCCGCAGCGCCCGCAGCAAAGCAACGTCATTGCAAACATAAAATGTGCGCATGCTATTCGACACACCAGCACATATTCAAGAAAAGAAAAAGGAAAGATGGAACCAAAGGATGCGAAGAGAAGGACTCAATGCAGTTTCGAAATGCTGGACGGGTCCTAAATCCTGCCAGATGGCCCTCACCTCCAGGATGTCGTCCACCGTCTGCTCGGCGTACTCGATCATCAGGGGGCTCAGGTCGGTGGCCACGAGACCCTGGCGCCGCTCAGCGTACACCCGGTCGCGCTGCGTGTTCAGTACCTTGTCGTAGTCGAAGAGCTGCCTGCGTTGCAGCAAGCGCAAATACTCAGGCTCGACATTTAGCCCACCAATCCATGGTTGTGATTCGCTATCACTCGGTGTTGCGGAGGCTGTCCTGCTTTAGCCCCAAACAATGCAACAAACAAACTCGCTGCGCCTACATCCCACGTGCAGCCACGTGAAGTGACATCACATGGCGCGTACGCAGATCAGAACGAGACAGGGTGTGCTCGTGCCCAGTCCCACAACTATTAACAAGTTTTGTATGATGCCCGTCACTTCCAGATATGAAGGTCATGAAGGAGCCAAGAAGGTCTTGAAAGATACAATCACCCTTTTTACCCGAAAACCTAACAACAGTAATCCTGACGGTCATCTTCATGACTATCCCGGCCTCCTTGTCTGAAATGAGGGGTATAGCACTTTGTGCCACTACCATGCAGTCGCCAACCACATTCACGGCCTCGACAACATGAATCACAAAATGTGATCATCAAATTACCACTGTGCCAAGTGAGGATTCGGAATATGAGAGGAGATCAGCTCACCTCCTGATGTCGAAGAAGTAGCTCTCCACTTTCTTCTGCGCCTCGTTGAGAGACTCTGTCAGCATCTTGGACTCGATGGGAAGGTCAGCCACGTTGAAAGCCACCATCAAGCCCTTGATCCTCTCTCCGCCGAACACCCTGAAATATGCAACAACAAAATTGTTTGTAGATGTTGGATCCATTGACCACAGTGAACTTATCAATCATACACACTGGCAATCCAGAACACAACCAGCAGCGAGGCCATCTAATCCTATGCCTGTGTTATTCTCTGATCGCCCCCTTTCCTCGGCAACCCAGCCAACCAATGCAAGTGCTGCTCCACCCAGTATCCTGGGTCACTCACTGCGCTTGCCTATGGCTACTTGCTGGCCCCTTGACTTGTTTCCAATCTGGTTCCCAAGGTCCAGTCCATCTGGCAAGGTGTTCTTGAGGATGCAGATGAAACACATAGTTTCGATCAGGAAATGCGATCGTCACCTTTGCACCCAAGCAGAGCGAACAGAACTGTACTTTAGAATCCCTGCTGTGCATCAGTGCAGCCACATTCAATGGGGCACTTTCCAACAGTGTGTCTTTGAGGCTGACGATGGAGTGCGTAGATCATCAGCTATTTAAAACAAGCTGCTCAAGACACTGTGCCTCCATCATGATCTAATGGTCATGAAATCCATCATCATCGAAATCTCTCATCCACTTGTCAACATCCAATGGGCCCCACCTAAACAGCGTGTCTTCGAGGCTCAGGAAGAACCGCGTCGAGCCTGGGTCCCCTTGGCGTCCACCACGCCCACGCAGCTGGTTGTCGATCCGACGTGACTCGTGGCGCTCCGTACCCACCACGTGCAAGCCGCCCAGAGCGATCACCTCCTGCTTCTCGATCTCTGTGACAGCCTTGTACTCCCGCTCCATGGCCTGTCCGCAAAAAGGAGCCACAGAAATGAGCCACGTGCAAGTACCGCAACACAGTGACTGGCTGCCAACTGCAGCAATCACACTTTTGGGCACACCGCGTACAAGGTAACAAGCCAATGTACCCAGCCAAAGCACATGATAAAGTACTTGCCAATGCATGTGCTAAAGTACACAGCCAAAGCTAAGTGCTGAGCAGTTCTAAGCAGCAAGTTCAAAGGGCCTCAGCATGAACTTTCCACTCAGTTTATCAACTAAACAAACGCAAAGGGGCACCATGGCACCATTAATGGACCACATCGTGCAATTTCAACTGTCAACCATGTTTCTGGCAGAGAATTACCCATTCCATGATTCATATTCTTGGCCAAGAGAAGTTTTTCGCCATTGACTTCAGTGAATGTAGTTAAGGGCGTAAATCATCACTACAACACTAAATACCAACATTCAACACACTCTCAATACTACAATTGGCGAAATGCATGCAAACAAGAGCTGCAGTGTTCCAAAATTGAGTCCACCATCACCTGACAAGTGCATTAGCAGCGCATCGATGCCTTTCGACACACAGTAATGATCGCGACAATTGCCAGGCAAGTGCAGCAGTTTCCACACCCACCTGAAACGCCTCTCTCAGGCGGGACAGGGTTGCATCCTTGGTGGGTGCCTTTTCGCATGCCACGGAGAGCCTCTCCTCCGCCTCCAGCAGCTCCAGCTGCCTGCTGCCCCAAGCCTCCACGGCGGCCTCCACAGCAGCCTTTGCCAGGGCCTCGGTCTCCTCAGACAGGTCGCAGGGAAACAGCTTGGGGGAGACCTTCCAGGACTCCATCTGAAGCAGCGCACACACTCTCTCTTCTAATCTTTCCAGAGATTCTGGATGACAACAGATACTGGAAGTGGGTGGGGTGGGGTGGAGTGGTGCTGAGAGAACTGAGCCTTGCGAGAAGTGAATTTGAGGGTGCAAGTACAACGGGCATGCATTCAGGAGGGTTTTCCCCAGTGCAGGATATGGTCCCTAGTTCCAAAATCCTTCTCCATATAAAGCAGCCCATGCTGGGTTGCAATCGATGCCCTGCAGTTCCTCTGTGCTTCGCCACGATCCACAGTCACAACACAGTGCGAACGCCAGCCACATCATGCACACCTTCAGGTAGTTCCTTGTCCTAGGGTCGCCGTTAGAGCTGTCCTCCACACGGCTGACGACCTCAGGCATCAGCAACTCCCGCAGCTTCAGACGCGCCATGAAGTCAGGGTTGCCGCCCAGCAGGATATCTGTCCCCCTACCTGCCATGTTGGTGGCCAGGGTTACTGCACCCTTGCGGCCGCTCTGAGCCACGATCTCAGACTCGCGCTCAACATTCTCTGGCTTTGCATTCAGAATCTGGCACAATCGCAGACACACACAGCAAGCCCACTTCACAGGCAGTTGAACTTCAGTTTTTCTCCCGATACTGTCATTTTCTCCGGAACATGAACAACTTGCACAAGCCTACCCGAATAGTCTGAATGATGTCGAACCCTGTTCGACTGCCATTTTGTTTTTGACCTGGACAAAACACTGAAGATGCTGCAAAAAGTCTGCAACACTACCATTGTGCCCAAACACGACCTGCATGTACCACAGTTGTCAAAGGCCATTACAATCACAGCCTTTGCAAATTGCAGGTAAAGGCTGGAACAGACAGGTGCTGTTGCCCCCACAAGGCCTGCACTTCTATTCCCTACCATAACCCAATACGTGAACAATGCGGTGATTTGCCACATTCCCACAAGCTTGTACCCATTGAGATTTTCCTTACTCATCATGGGCATGTCACATCGTGTCAGCATGAGAAGACAGCACATCAAACGAAAGACACAAAAGATGTTTTTGGGCAACATCACCAGGAAAAGTGGCTCGATGGCCTGGCTGTCTGCAGCCTTTCAGGGACCCCCAGTCAATCAGCCAAGCAGCCAATGACATTCCACCTCAGCAACAAAGATCGCGAGGGCCTGCAGTTCTGACAGTCCAACCCTCCTAACCTGGTCATCCCTCACTGACCTCGTGTGGAATTCCCTCCTCTTTGAGCATCTCTGACAGTGCCTCGCTCTTTTCGACACTGGTGGTGCCCAGCAGCACAGGCCGGCCGGTCTTGTGCATCCTCTTTATCTCTGTCACCACAGCTGCCCACTTGCCATCCTCGATCCTGCAGAGCCGCCAAAATGCCATTCGATTTTCTGCCTCGCTTGTTCTTACTCAAGGTTTCTTCAATAACTGTTTGCAATACTGTCCTGCACAGGGAACATTCATGCGCTGCACTTCCAACTGACCTTTCCGAGGGCAACAACACTACCCAAACCCACACAGAGCAAAAAGAGCAGCACCTGTCACAACATACTGTGCTAGCATAGTGCCATTGTTGTATCTTCTCAACGAGCATGTCACTCTGAAATGACCTACATCTCCTTGCTATTTTTTGTTGCACTGGGAGGGTCTCGTATAAAGGGGCCTATTCCCATGGACAGGAATGCAGGGATAATGCCTTCTTGAGCTGTGCTTGACATCGTCAAGATGACACTCCCCTCGCTTCAGGACTGTTTTTCAATGCTCATTGCTGTGTGTTCTGATAATTCCCATTCTGAGCAGTCAGCGGACTGCTGACTGTGTCATACCACCAGATAAGCCCATATTCAACATGACAATCTATGTTTCAATGACCGTATTCTGTTTCAGTATGCTGCTTGACTGCATGAGTCAGGTGTTTCACCAGTTTGACAGCATTCCCAACATTGACCACATTGCATGGGTGACAACACACATAACGCGTTTTCTCGTGAAGCACTGTTATCAAAACTCAAAATTGGTAGAAACGTCATCTAAACTCACCGCTAACGCAGAGGTGTGAGTTTTATTGAACATTGGTACACCATTTGAGGACAGCTAACCATAAATGTCACTTAACAAGTGTTTGGTGCTGCAGAATATGGGCATTAGGCACCTGAAAACGACGTCAGGATTGTCCTCCCGCTGGCACTTCTTGTTTGTGGGAACAACAGACACTGTGAGATCGTAGATGTTGGAGAACTCAGCGACCTCAGTAGCCGCAGTGCCCGTCATCCCTGCATGCGCCATCACAACGTTTGGACTTTGGCGGTCCCGCTTGAGACCTCATGTGCGCCAGCCAGGTGCATGACATTACCTTGCAGGCACAAGGCTTCTGCTTTGCCACTTTCAACAAATTAGACTCCTTGACACATCTGGACGTATTATGCATATTCTACATATCTTTACTTGTCCCCCTGGTGACTCAGGCATGCAGGGCGCTTCGGAGCAAAAATGCACAGCATAGTGCCAAGCCAACGGAAATGCAACAGGGGTAAAATGATAGACACACACCTGCAATTCACCAGCTCCTCTGCAAACCCATGTTTCCAAACTTTTTCACTGTCAAACATATTAACAAGTGAACAGGAGGGACAATCGTTAGTGGGAGTTCAACATGTTCCAGCAAACAACCCAAGAGGAGGGTATCTTGTATGCACTAAGCAATGGAGCAAAACAAGCAATGCACACATGCACAGCACACGACTTACTGATTGGATATTTCAGATCCAAATGGTGATTCAAACAAATCCATGGCACAATTTGCGATGAAGGTTGGACAAATGTTGCAGAACGTTTTCTTTTCTTTGATAATCCACAGTCACATCTCCACCATTCTCTGCTGTCGTTGGCACTGCGGAATTGCACTTGCACAAAGATGTCCTTTCCCAGCCCTTACGCATTGAGCACCAAAGTTCCTTCCACACCAGGCTGTAGGGCGTCTCCCTCAAACTTCACTCCTAGCAATACACAATCAAGTGGTTTCCCCAGAGTACTCCTGCCAGCACAAGAGTCAGGAAATGCGCCTCTTCTCTTGAAAGAGCAAGGCTAGTCCTTTGCCGGTGTTTGGGAACTTGGCTGCACACAACAAAGGCAAAGAACCTTCGAATGCGCTGCCTCCTGCCCACTCACCTGCCAGTTTGGGGAAAGTCCTGAAGAAGTTTTGGTATGAAATGGACGCCAAGGTAGTACTCTCGTTCTGTATCTTGAGGCCCTCCTTGGCCTCTACGGCCTGGTGCAATCCCTCACTCCACCTCCGTCCAGGCATCGTCCGACCCGTGAACTCGTCCACGATGATTACTTCCCCATCGCGGACGATGTAATTCACGTCCTTGATTTGGAGTTCCTTAGCCTGGGGTCGTCAAACAAGATCGTGAGAGCAAGGGGCCGGTTTGCACATGCTTGTTGTCACACAGGATGTGCAAGTTCATCTTTCTGTTACGTGCTCTGGTGAATATCAACTGCAAACGTAGCTAGTCAAATTATTGGCAGAGAGAAAAAGGGGTGTCATGGCCAATTGTCCATACCTATGCCATGTCCATGACACCTTTACTATTCTGTCCACTTGATGGGACTTGCAAGGGACCATGTCACCACCTTGCATCTAACGTGTATTTGCCCACTTTGTGGTTCCAACTCACAATCCACAGACACATTGATCCTACACAGGTACATTGATCCTGACCTTATCAACGCCTAGCTAAGGACCTATCCCATCCTTGGAAGCAGGGCTGTCTACTCAATTAGACAAAGATGGTCCCACTGTGGGAATGAGAGTCCAGGCTGCTTACATATTGGAATCGACAGGCTAAGGATGGAGACACAACGATTTTCAACCACAAACCTCAATTCCAACCGACTGACAGCAGCAGTCACAGCACAAACAAATTGCAAACTCTCAACTTCACTTCTTGGCAGTGTCTGCCGCCCTGTTGACACTACACGACTAGGTGGTGTGCAGAAACTAAGACTTTAAGGTGTTGAATAAGCATTGAATGGGTCTCTCTATGCCCGTCAACGTCTGCAAGCTGCAGGGTTTTCGATTCCTAAATGTGTTGCCATAGTTGGACAAAGATAGGACTCTACCCATAGCGTGGAGTTGACGACTGTATTCCGAAGAGTTTCACCTTTATGGCATTGATGACATATGAAGCCCACTGCTCCCTGGGGTTGTACAGATCGGTAACTTGCAGCACGTCCTCTGCTGCCTCGTATCCCTCCTCTGTCAGCAATGTGTTCTTCTGCTTCTCGTCCACTGTGTAATGGACGTCACGAGTCATCGCCCCAGCAAGCTGCGCTGACTGTGAATCGCACAACACACAGTTCAGTGCAAGCATGCAGCCACTTTGGCCCAGCATCGCATCCCCATGCGCAAGGGCACTGCTTTGTGTTGTGCTTTTCACAAGTGTGGAACACGCAGACAGCCACTTTGAGGTGGGGGTGATGTGGCCAAAGGGAATCACTGAGAACAAGTGTGGTGCATACTACTTCCTCTTCACGATTCCAAAATTTGCTTTACATTTCAGTGTCCAGGTGCCACCCCTGTCCCAACGCAAGATATGTGACCATTTTGCCACCCAGCAAGCGAGTGCAAGGCGATGTAAGCCCCCCAAAGCTGTTTGCATCTGAATGATTGCTCGATCTCAAAGAAAAACATACATACTGCTTGCCATGCTGTTGGCGCTGTTCTAAGGAAAATGCAAGAACACATGAGAGCCCCAGGAAATGGCTGAACGAGCTTGTACTTGCCCAACAGCACCGTGGGAGCATTCCAACAAACATGTGACGACTGGCAGTATTCTAAGCAACAACATGAAATCATGTGCTGAAATATTTTGGAATCAAGGAAAAGTAAAATGAACTTCAGATAATGTTTGCATTTTCTTCTCTTAGGAAGTGCTGCATCAGATTAAGAGTATAGTGCTTGTGTCTCTTTTTCCAATACATAGAGCGCTGTGTCTGTTATCCTCAGTGAGTTTAATATATTCCCCACCTTGTAGTACTTGTCAGAGGGAGCTTCTGCAGAGCCAGAAATGATCAGCGGGGTGCGGGCCTCGTCGATGAGGATGGAGTCCACCTCATCAATGATGCAGTAGTTGAAATCGCGCAGCACCAGCTCATCCTTGGTCTGCAGGCAAGCCATGGAAGCAACCATTCTTTGATACAAATCCAGGTGTTTGCTGGTCTCCTGGCCTCACAGGAAAAAATTAACAGAAGTGCACTGGCAAGTGGCGAGTTGTGGTCGCTTCCACAAAGCCACATTGGGGACCCACGCTGTGCTATGATCTTTTGGCATGAAGGAAGCACAAAATGCAGAGGAAAGGAAACATTACTGAAGCAGTTTTGGGCGCGAACAGAATATTAATGTGCTGAGCACGCCCGGCCCACATAATGATATCTGACTAAATCAGCACCCCATTGCCATGGGATTGCTATAGGTAGTCCAAACCCAGCTCGTCGCTGCTGACTTGGGAATTATGATGCCGCACCATCTATGGGTCTGCAACTCTCCCTAGCTCACTCTGGACATTTCCTTCCTGCTTGAATGCCTGTCTCTTCCTTAGCAGGCCTCACCATCGCCAGATTGTCCCTGAGGTAATCGAACCCCAGCTCGCTGTTGGTGACATATGTGATGTCACAGTTGTATGCAGCCCGTCGTTCTGCTGGCTGCATGTTCTGCTGAATGATGCCCACGGTCAAGCCCAGGAAGCGGTGCACCTGGCCCACCCACTCGCTGTCACGCCGCGCAAGGTAGTCGTTCACAGTGACGATGTGGACACCCTGCGATACAGCACGAAGGTGGTCGTAGATCAGAGTTGGGCAACAAACAGAAGAGAAGCCAAGAAAAAAAAAAACTGGCGAAAAACACAAACACAGACGCCTCAGAAAGTCAGACAATGCACAGGTGCTCAGCAGTCTGAGCACTGAGGAGCCGGGTCGGAATTCAAACTTGTTGCTTTGACTGCAAGCTGTGGTCATGAAACAAGGCGGTGGACAAGCAAGCACTACAGCACTGCACAGCATGCTGCAGAATCCAGCAAACAGATACTTCTAGAAGTTAGAAGCGGTGAACAACAAATTCACTCTGAATCGATAGCGAACGCTCAGACAACGTGCACATGTCCATGGGTGTCTGGCAATAATGTCGCAGTCAGTTACATAACGATGAGTCAGCAAAGTTGGGTAAGAGTCGTTTTTGCGCCAAGTGGAGGCACCTAAACTGCACGTAAGCTTGGTGCCCCCAGCTTGGGCCCTTGCGACAACATGAAACCATAGCCCGATCCATCGCACAGCAACCAGGGCCCTGCAGCTGTGTGGGTGCCCATACGACTGCACGTTCACGTTGTTCAAAAGTTTGGAATTGACAGCGGGCAGCATGACCATAGGAACAAATTCCAGGGTCACAAAGTTTCCCAGCATTGATGGCGAATTGTTTACTCATCAAGTCATTGACAAATACAACACCCCAAAACCACAAGGGAGCTACAACAGCACAGAACTGCAACACGTTCGGGATGGATTTTGCAATGTGCTGGACTAACAAACTCCCACAGGAGGCAAGCTTGCTAGGAAAGCCTTAATTTCCTTTGTGAGCATACCACTGCAGAAAGAACAATGTCAACATATACACAACTTCGCTTTCAGTTTCTGTGTGCACAGTTGCAGAAGTTTTCAACGAACCCCTTGCAGTCAGTAATAATGGAAGATTATAGATACCAATGCATTTCAAATTTCGAAACAGATCTTTAATTAGACATTTTCCATATTCTGTTGGGTTGACAGACGCCACAACGAGATGGTGGACTAAGTGACAGCTGGAAGTCAATACTTGCAATAAGCTGCTGCAAAGGGTTTGTGAGCCAATCAGTTGGTGCAGCAGCTTGGGATTTAGGGTTCAGGATGCACAAGATATACTAAGGGAAGACACTATTTTAATTTTCGTGCGCTTAACGTCAAATTGACGGGGTGGGGGCCCACAGGCATTGCCGCTAAGAGATTACATAATTGCACTAAAATAAAAATAAGGTGGGAAGATGCACAAAAACACCGCTGATAACGGCAAAAAGCTCACAGCTTGTTGCAAAACCTCTCTTAAACTTTCAATCCTCCAGGTAATCCTCAGAATGGATCAATTTTCAGGCTTTTGGGCTGCTGTCATCGCCTATCATCATTTTTGATGCCCTTTCAAATCATCTCGAATGCTAAAATTCTGTCTGTTTCTTCCCTTGAGATTATTTTGAAGTTGTATGGCATTGTTAGGTAATATTGCTGAGTCATCCTGGTATCCAAATAAGGATTGATGCTAAGGAGAGAGAGAGGGGGGTGGGGGTGGGGCTGAGCCTAATGTCACATTGACGCTAAGCGTCCCTAATTCAAAACAATGTCTTCCCTAAATATATGACTCAGCAAGTTAAATACAACACGAACCACGACCTCAACCTAGCAGCCTCCCACAATGCCCCACCACAATAACACTGGCAAAACTTGACACATGGAACCATATCATCACATGAGCTGACCAGTGGACAGCTTTGGGCAACAAACTTGCAGCACTGGTGCAGCAGGGTGAGAATATGAGTCCAAACTAGAGCTGGTTCCATGCGCACCAACAACATGGTACCATTACCATCACCTTTAATTTTCCGCTATTGTCATATTGCCAACAACCCACATTTGGCAGCAAGACTCAAAGTATCCATTGGAGGCTATCCCAGGCCTTCCCTATATCGCCCTCAAGGGCAGTATCGGTTGGTTGTCACATTCTGATGAATCAAAGCCAGCACTGCTGTTCGCAACTGACCTTCCCAGACAAGGCGTTGAGAAAGGCTGGCAGCACAGCAACCAGGGTCTTCCCCTCGCCTGTCGCCATCTCTGCGATCTTCCCCTCATGAAGGATCATGCCTCCAATGAGCTGCACATCAAAAGGCCGCAGGCCCAGAACACGCCTAGATGCCTCACGAACGACCTACATTAATCAAACAGGTGTTGAGTTGTTGCCTGGCAGCTGTAAGGAACAGTAGAATCATGCTTCGCCAATGTGATTTATCAGGGAAGACGAAGAAGCACCCTGCGAAAAAGAACTAATGAACTTCTTTTCCATCATATGGGATGGATAGAATTTGTCTCTTCCCCTCTGGAGAGGTCAGAGTTTTCTCCCTTTGTTTCCATGATCAACCATCCCCCCCTTGGAATTCTCATTGCCAAGCGGGCATTCTAAACTGAACTGGCGTTCCTTCCATCCTGCATTCAGCATTATTAGCCTCAACATATGTTCAACATCGTTGACCCTTCATATATATCAAATAGAACAATTTGGGTACTTCTAAACACCGTGGGAAAAACGTTTGTGGAGGTGAGCAGTGGACTTCATCGCCTTGCAGTTGCAGTGGCATTGCCGTGCTGGCGCACATGCCATGACAGAAACAAAGAATTTGGATTTGCTTGTGCCAGCAATAGCCTGCATGGTGGCACAAGTTGCTAAGCGACAAGAAATAGATGGCGACACACCATGACAAAAATGACCCTTGCTGACTGCAGCACAACGGCGAAACGCCGATAATCCACCTCGCCATCTGAAGAAGGATCGCGCTGTGCTCCAAGCAGCCTACTTCAACGGGTCAGCACAGGACGCCCATGCCCTCCTGACCCCCATGACAGGTCACAAATCGCCCTCTTGCCAGACCCCAAGCAACTCATGATCCCACTTCCCAAACAATAGTGGTGCCGTATTGCGCCGCGAACACGAGCTCCATGAAAGATCCTCGTCGACTGCAACGACAATGGCGCTAACATGCCACGCTGCGGTGCCGCCATTCTGCACGTCCCCGAATGGGCAACCAATCGTTCCCCCGACTCCGCCAGTCTTCGCCACCATCGCGACTTGTCCAATTCCCCGGGTGCGTCCCTTTTCCGCCTCTCGCCCTGCACAGACGCCCTCCAATACCAATCGAGGCGCGACGCAAACAACAAAACACCAAACAACATCCTGCACCCGATGCCATCTCCCACACACCCTAGGCGCTGTCCTCCTCGAAACGAGGTGCACGCCCGCCGCGACCGCGACCGCCCCCCCCTCCCCGGGTGGCCCAACCGCCGAAATGGGTAGCGAAAACAATAGCGAATCCCGCCGCGAGCTACTCGCCATCCCCCGCAATGCGCGACATCGCCCCTTCCCAAACGCCACCCGCAGACCCCAATCCCCCAAACCCCAAGCCACCCACCCCCCTGAGCGCATGCTCTCTTGCTCCCCGTGGTCTCGCGCTGTGTGCTTTCCTTGTCGCATTGGCGCCGGCAAACCATCTTCTCGCGTCAGGCAAAAGAGTCCCACGCACACCCGAGCGGGCGCCCTTCCCATGACCCGTTTCACTTTCCCTTGCCATTTCCAAAGACGAACAACATTTGTTTTGCAACAAGTCTCGCCCAAACCACCCACCGCGAACGCCTCCGGCAGGACGGCCTCCAGCGCCTCCCCGCCCGCCACCCGCCTCCGCATCCCCTCCGTCCTCTCCCGCAGGCCCTCGTCGCTCATCCCCTTGCAGCTCTCCTCCAGCGCGTTCACTTCGTCCACCCGCCCCTGGTAAACTTTCCGCGTCTTCTCCCCGGGGTCTGTCTGAAACAGGTCGCCCAGGACGTCCATCACCGCTCTTGCAACACACCCCTCGCCACGATTCTCCCCTCCATTCATTTCCGTTTGAAAAATTCCGGGCAGGATTTTTCCATGCTTGCCGGAGTAGGGACGGATCCCCATCTTTCTGCGGCGCGCCGAAGGGGGCGCATTGACGGCGTTGGCCGGCAGGTGGGGCTGCCTGAGATGCGATGTCGATGGCGGACAGGTTTGCGCATCTGATGGGCTTCGAGCGGACGGAGGCGGCATTTTGGATCGCGCGGCGCCGTGGGGGCGTGTGGCTGCCGCGAGGGGTCGGGAGGGGGCCGCTGCGGCTGCGCGAGTGGGCTCGCGGACGGGGAGAGGGGGTGGCGGGTGCTGGGTTGGTGGACAGGGGAGATGGGGGGTGACGTGGGCGCACGTGTCGGGGAGCGCCACAAGGAGGGGCGTGGGTGTGTGTCTGGGGGTGGGCAACGGCCGCAGGGGCAGGCAGAAACCAGAAACAGACTGGCATGAAATAAGTCCCTCTTCTTTCGTGTGGATCCCATCTTTGTTTTGGACACCCTAAGAGCATCTTTATCGGTGGGTGCTATTGTTCCGGCGGAGCTATTCAGGAACGGTTCTCATTGGCTGCCGTGCCACCTTACTAAGGTGGCATGTGCCAAATAGCGCCGGTGCTATTGGGGAGCAATAGCACCGGGCGTGCATCCGTAACGGTGGATGCCTTGGGGAGCAATAGCACCCCGTGGGCATCCGTAACGGGGGGTGCTATTTGCATGGTTCGGCTGTCCCAAGGCCCCTCCGCTGTACTAAGGCCCCTCCGCATTGTTCCAAGCAGCTGCCGCCAAGTGCTGCGCGAATAGCACCGGTGCTATTCTGGGGAGCTATTCGGTCTCGAGCGGAGCTATTCTGGCCCCGAATAGCTCCGCTGGGCGCCGAATAGCTCCGGGGGAGCTATTGGAGAGTTATTGCTCCCCAACCGTTAATGATGGTTTTTTGACGTGCGGAGCTATTCGGATAGCCGAATAGCTCTGCCGGAACAATAGCGCCGACCGATAAAGATGCTCTAAACCCCCATCACCGCTGACCCACCGACCGGCGTTGGCCTTGTCAGCGAAAGAAGACGGGATCCGCACCGACAAGACAGAGGGACTGGTGCCGTTCCCGTTTGCTTGTTCGTCTTCGGCTTGCCAGTCGTTCAAGACATCCTGCAAATCGAAAAGTTCTGCATCGCATGCCTTTTCTTTCTTCGGTCTCCAGACTTTTTTAGATCTCTTTTAGGCATTTTTGGTGGAGTGTCTTCGGCAGCTTTGGTTTTGAGGTTCACGGGACAAGACGGCCAATATCAGCAACCAACGTACACTCAGGAGAATACGATTTGATGAACATGACCACAGTGGGGTGCCGTAGGACACACCCTTTCTTTGCAAGGACAGCGTGTACGAGCACAAGCGGCAGTTCGCTCTGATATCCGCAGCATTGCATAGGGTTTCTTTGTAGTACGTGATTGGACAAGGCTGGGCTTCTTTTTCTCACTCCAACTGTTCTCCTAGCAGTTTCTGAAGAGGTTGCTTATTCGCTCTGCGAAGCCTTTGCCGATCGCCAGACCAGCTGTTGTTGTCCGATGAACTGAATTCAACAGACTCATGCAACGAACAGTGTTCCAGTCTGGACGTGGCTGTGAAACAAACATTTAGACAACGCAATGAAATATCTTGTCTGCTGTGGGACGGGTCAGCCTTGCGACGGCTCTGTGCTTCTGTATCACCTCTGGTGAAGTCCCGCCCTAGCAAGGAAGAAATGTTGCAAGCCTGCCAGTTGCATACCAGATGGATCGACAGGCTGCCTGTTGGTCAGAGTTGGAATACCTTCGAGTCATCACCACAGGGCAAACTAGTGTTGACTGGCCGATTCATTGATCGACTGGCTGAACCACTTAGAGTTCAGTAACACGAGCACCTTACACGAAGGCTGAAGATGGCAGCGCGACTGCGCAGCACCCCTGCACATTCGACGCAGCAGACATGGTGTACGGACGCCACGCGGACTTTTTCCTGAACCATTCCTGCAGTACACTATTCGGACTCGATTATTGGCAGATAGCAGCATCCCTGCCTTCAAAGACAAATCCACAACTGCAACAGGTTTCAAATTTGTGAATCACAAGACGTCACTGGCCCAATACGCACCCTCTGGAGCAACCCAGAAAGACTGTGCAACGATTGAAGCCAACAATGAGCATCACTGTCCCTGCACGCAAGCATGCAACGGAGTCTTGACCACAAGCATGAGCCCAGCTACAGGGTGCTCATACAAGGCTTCTGGCTAAGCCAGGCCTTCCACCATGTCACCCTCGTCAGTGCTCTCACCGCCCCTCGCACCCCCATGCATGGCCTTTTGCCAGCACGGCCTCCGACCTGCTTCCCTCCGGCACGACTCCGGCAACCTCAAGTGCAGCATGCCATTCTCCAGGTTCTCGTCGCCTTCCTCGACCACCATCGAATTGCCCTCGTGGGTGTTAGCGACACTGTCATTTCCTTCTGGCACAGAGCTCCGATTTGAACCACTGCCAAACACAGAACAGTCAGCAAGGATGGTTCTCGAAATGATAACAGCAATGTAACAAATTACTGGCACGCAGTCCAGCACAAAGTCCAGTTTTCGAGGTCTAAAACAGCAAAAGTATCAGCACAATTCACCATGCAATCAGTGACATGTATTTCCCCGAATTCTCTTCCATACAGTCGCTCCACACTCGCTTTCCACAATCAAAACCAGCAGCATTTCCAAAATAAGATCAAGCAACTGCTCCAATTACCCTGACTCCCCAGTGTTCTCCAGCCAACAAGCTATAAAGTGATCAGAGACACAGCATACTGGGCAGCAGGGAAATTCCATGATAATGATCAACTTGCCAACAAAGCTGCAGACAATACGTGCATTGTGCCAGTTCTAAACTCTTCTGATTGCATTTCGATGCCCACATGCTGTACAATGCACTGACAACCACTTGTTGAAGAATACATAGGACCCATATCCTACACTTCATGACGCATTAAAAACCCTCCTGCTAAATGTGACACATGGGGCCCTTCACAAGCCATTGATGATGTGCTATGATCTGCCAGGCAGCCCTGTCTATGTACAAGCAGAACGTTTTCACACAGCCCACAGTGCTCCACCGGTCACATTCCACTGTATGCCACAAGATGCCCTACGGTCTCCCAAACACTCACCTTGGCTTGACATCATCCAATCTATCCTCTTCCTCACTTCCCTCCTCATCGCCCAAATCCCACACCCTGCTCTGCCGGCCCACCACCCGCTGCCGTCTCGCGCGCCGAATGCTCTTCTGGGCGGCCCTTCGCCTCTCGCGCTCCTCTGCCCGACTGAAGTCGAATGTCCGCACCACCGGTGACTCCGACCCGCACACCAGCCATCGGTCTGCCATGTGCACGCAGAACATAGGGCCTCCCGGTGAGGCCAGCTGCCTCCGGTTGGCAGCAGTCTCGAACAGCGTGCCGGCGCCCAACGCCTCCCTCTGCCCACAAACCTTCTCCGTGCTCACAAGCGCCATTGTCCCATCGTGTGAGCAGCTCACAACCCAAGGGTCCTCAAAAGACAGCCCGCTCACAGCGCCACTGTGGTGCCACAGCTCGGCCACTGGCGACCTCACCCTCGTGTCATGCAGCAGCACTGAACCGTCCCCACTTCCCGTCACGAACAAGGCCCCATCCTCTGACCCCTCGATGCTCGAAACCCGTCCTTCCATTTTTGAATTCTGAAACCTTCTCACAAGCTTGCCGGTGGCCAGATCCTGAAACAACACCTCCTTGCCCGCAGATACCACCACAGATGGCCCCTTAGTCAGCACTGCCCACACCCAGTCGCTGTACCTCCAGGTGTCCATACACTCCAGAGTAGAGCAGGACCAGATCCGCACAGAGCAGTCCCAGGAGCCAGAGATGAACTGATCCTCCGTCAAGGCGAGGCCTGAGATGGGACCCGTGTGGATGCCCTGCACCTTGATCGGGGTGGACAAGTCCGGTCGACCGCTGGCTGAGCGGTTGGGGTCGATGTTCCAGATGCGCAGGGCTGCATCAGTGCTACCACTGATGAGTTGCTGCCGACTGAGTGCCAAGCACCGGACTGTGCCGCCGTGCGACTTGCTTGTGGCCAGGGACATGCCAGCAGAGAGGTCCCAGAGGATGACTGTTTTGTCTAGGGAGCCTGGGGGGCAAGAAATCGACGTTGAGAACACAGAACAAGTTGCGCTTTGTGGGACCAATCACTGGCCTTGCGCCCATTCCACAATGTTGGGCACTGCCACAAGTGTTTGTTGTCACAGTGCTTGCACTTCCATTTGGTGAATGTGCCCCCCTGGACTGCCTGTGGGGCAGTCAAAATTACTGATGCAGAACAAGGATGTGCCCGTAGCAGATTATGTGTCTGCGTGGCCTAGCATGAGTGGCAAGGATAACACTCCACTCAACTAGGGACAATGCATGCAGTTTGGCACTGTGTGTGAATGTGCTTAACCTGTGCCTACTCATTAATTGTGCTCTCTTGTGTCAAGGGAATATTGCGCAAGCTCAGCAACTGGTTACAACAGTTCTGGACGTTGACAACTCATTGTATCGCACAATAAACAAGGAATCCTGTTAAAACAATAAGACTTGCCATGCAATGGGCAGCCCCCTCCTGGGCAAGGAAAAATGCTGACACTTGCTCCCACACTATGTACCTGAGATCACAGGGGATAGCGCAGGGGGTGTTGAATAGTGCAGGGGCCCTTAGAAAATGCCCCCACGCATGGGGGTTATGTTCGATGGCACGGGGGGTATGCAACTCCCATGAAAGGGACACCCTCTTTTGCTACCAAAAGATGCAGCGATGCAATGCAGAAGTCGCAGAACTGTTATGGTGACGTCCTGCCAATTTCACTGCGATTGGCGCCCTAATATAGATTTGTTCTCAATGTCTCGCGGTCAGTGTGGCAGCATCGCGGCATTGCTGATTCGACTTGATGCGGAACACAGGGCATTTAAAATAACGCAGGGGCGTGCAAGATAGCGCCCCCCCACGTTCTTGTCGCCAGCCCTGATGCTCAACGCGGGGTGCGGCACTATCCTCTGTGATCTACGGTAAGATGATGCACAGTGTCCGATGGCAGGAGAATCCACCAAAAGAATCCACACACTTCCACACAATCGCACATCACCCTCAGCAACAAAGCGACAAGGCGCTGCAAGGGGCAAGGCAGGAAGGCCCCAATTAACCACACACTTCCCCATCCACCAAACGAGCAGTCTTCTCTTCGGGACCTCGCACTCCCAGAACACTCCCTAACCCGCAGGAGGGGGTGCTCCAAACCCGCACCTGTGGCCGCCAGGCCGCGCTCCGGCAGCAGCCTCGCGCACCGCACTCCCGCCTTGTGACCGAACAGGCTGTCCGTCTCGCACTTTCCCCGCCACACGCGCGTCCTCAGCACCTTCGCGCCGTAGGCCGCCTGCCAGCGGCAGATCGGATCTCCTTCGCCCGCCAATGGCCACCGCTGGGCGTACAGCGCCCGCCACCGACAGTCGGCCGCATCATCGCGATTCAGCGCTCGCCACAGGCGGCAGACCGACCCCGCCCTGCTGAGATCGCGCGGGCCGAGCAGGTGGAAAATCTTGTGCAGCACGCCCGTGGGCATCCCGTTCAGGTGCAGTCGATCGTCCGCCATACTCGCTGCCTGGGCACCTGATTGCTCGAGTGGGCTTTGGCTTGCCTTCGCGCCAAGTTGGGAGTGCTTCTTACACTTCGGACAAGGAGGGGGGATTGCAGGGGCTTTCGAGTCAAATCTCGGCCAAGGTTGCCTCTTGGGGTTCCTCGCCGGGTCGTCCGGCGGTGCTATCTGCATCCGGAAGGGAGCGGGGAAGGGAGGCGGAAGCGGGCCCTGCGGTGGGAAGGTCACCGCGGAAGGATCAACAGCCGCCAGCAGTCGGAGAAGCCATCCCAGCGGGCGAAAACGATACGAACATAGGCGAGCAGCCGCCGCGATTCACAGCTGATCTCGACATCGGGCTCCCCGTCTGTGGACCAATTTTGGCCTGGGGGGGAGTGGTCACGAGTTTCGCGGCGTGAGGCAGAACGCGGCGGAAGGTGCAACCAGCCGCCTTCTGTCGGAGCAGCCATCCCATCGGGCCAAAACACTCCGAACAGAGGCAGCCGCTCGCCACGACTCACGGCCGAAGTCGGCATCGGGGCCCCCGTCCGTCCACCAGTTTCGCCCCGGTTGGAGCAGTCCAGAATTCCTGCCGCCTCCACGCCCGGCATGGCAGCCCGCGAGGACGAAATTCAATTTCCTCTTCCCGCCCGAATGCTACGGGATGCGCGTCGGCAGGTGGGCAGCGGGGTCTGCCGCGATCCGCGCCGAGTCCGTGGCATTGGGCGCTCACCTCGGCCGTCGCCAGAAGGGCTGGGGGAGCTGCGCCGCTCCAGAGGGGCGGCCCGCGCCATCCTGGCCCGCGGTCCGCGGCCAAGAGGCAGGGGCCGACGGGCGGGCGGCGGGGGGTGGAGTGGGAGGGGAGCGCTGTTGAGGGCGCTCCTGGTGAGGGAGGCGAGAGGAGGGAGAGAAGAGAGGCGGGTATAGGGACAAGGGTGCCCCGAGGCGTGGTTTTTGTGCCTCTGTGGTTTGGCGGCTCCGGGCAAAGGTTTATCCGGGAGATTCGGGCTGAAGGCGGCCTGAAATTATAGTCGCTTTGTCTTTTCCGTCTCTTCCTTATTTCGACACTGTTCGCGCAGCTGCATAATGACCACCGTTTCACTGGGTGAGTCACTTATGATTCAGCTGGCGAGGGATCTTACGTCTGACACGCATGCTGACTGTGTGGGATGGCCCGAGCATGCCACCGCCGGTTAGAAAAGGAAAAAACAAAAACAAAAACTGGTCAAGTGCTTGCATTTTTGGTAATATAGCAAGCTGGTCATGAAAGTTGAGAGGAGTTTTGCCTCAAGGGGAGCTTGGTGACGACTAAGTGACACCCTACGCAGCAAGAGTATTTCAGTAAGCACTGACTCACCAGTAATGACCGCGGCTCTCAATATCTAGTGGGGCCATGTGTCCGGAATAGGGATACTACCCAGTTTGGCCGTGTATCCAGCCTCAAAGCCACTTGCGCCCGGCTAAGAGGTTGCTGGCCTGAAAAAGGCTAAAAAGGAACCATGCATAGCCGAAAGCTTGGGCCCACACCTGATGGCTCTTTCCAGGGTGGACTACCCCATACTAAGGCTGCATGTGTTTGCTTATTCATCAGTCACCCACAGCTGAAATATTGCTGTGAAGAAGGCATACGTTCTGGCTGTGTTGCCTGCCATCCCATCATGCCAATTTGCTCCAGATTCGATCCCATATGCTGATGTCTCTTTCTAGCTATGGGTAGAGTTTGATTTAGCGGTAACAGAGCTGTGTTCTGAACCATCTTGTTCAGACGTTTGGGCCCCAAGAAACATGCTGGGAAGTATCTTGCCTCAGCATGGGGCCATATTAGTGTTTTGCCCAGCCAGCCCACTCTTCGGTGGTCCCAAGCGCTGAGTTTATTATGGTGCTTTGAGTGTCGCTGAATAAGTGACAAGAGCAGAATAAATGTGGGAAAGTCACTGAACAAGTGATAAAGAAAGGGAAAAACTCCTGAACAAGGAACTTTGGACCAGTTGGAGCGTTCTTCACTAGTCTGTGCATGCGTGAGAATGTGCTCCGTTGGTTGACGTCTCTTTCCAGCCACGGGGTCACACAGTTGTGCGTTTGTGGGGCTGTGCCCCTAGTCGACCATTTTACAGGCATGCGCCTTAAGGAACATGCCGGGATGTCGCTTTCCCGGGCATGGCATTGAGCTGATGTGCCTTTCCAGCTCGGGCACCCTTTTGGCGTGTTGGACCTGGTGCAAATGGTACTTGCCACTGAAAAAGTGGCTGGAATCTACTTGCCACTGTGAAAGTGGTGCTGCCATTGGTGCAAGTGATGCAGCATTGGTTGGTGTATACCACTGAAAAAGTGGTTTTATGTGGCGGCCACTGAAAAAGTGGCGCAGCCCCTGAAATTGGACGGGACTGGTTCATGTTTACCACTGAAGAAGTGGTTGTATGAGGCTGCCACTGGAAAAGTGGTGCTGCCTTTGAAGTTGGGCAGAAATACTTGGTGTTTGCCACTGAGATAGTGGCGCTGCTCCTGGAAAAGAAGATGTGAGGTTGTGAATAGCTTTAGGATTGGTTTCTGAACAAGAAACGCAAGTCCAGAATCCGTTAGAGGAAACATGCTGAAAAAGCATGGTTGTCATTTGATTACAATGAGTGCATAGTTGAATCCCTGAAAAAGGGATATGTACAATCATCCAACAGCTCCTGAAAAGGAGTTGGGAGTTTGTGAGGTGTTGTTGGGCAGTTTCTAGAGAAGAAATTGTATTCCCTGAACCGATTGTGGGGTTGGTTTGGGGCAAAACATGCTGAAAAAATATGTTGTAAATTTGCTTGAAAATGGTGTATGTTTGGTCCCTGAAAAAGGGACTTGTACACTGTCAAACAGCGCCTGAAGAAGGAGTTGGTTCACCACGTCAAAGGGTGTACTTTGGCACAGCATTGAAAAAGTGTTGTAGTTTAGAGTGATTGTATTTTGTTTTGGTGAGTGGTATATATTGTCTTTGGTGCCATTGGCCAGTAGTTCTGACCATGCCCCTCTGTCCATCTGCCACCGCGAGGGCAGTGGTGTGGCAGCGGCCCTTCGAGGAGTGGGGCCCCGACGAGTGGTTCCCACTCTCGGGGGCCTGCCAGTGCCCGGCCTTACGCCGGGTTGAGTCTACAATACCGGTCACCCGGGGGGGCCGGCCATACCAGGAGACCCTGGTACGGCTCCTGGACCCCCTGGGTGGCGTCGGGTACTGTATGGCGGGTAGACATGGCCGCTCAGCTTTTTTTCTGTTATTTTACTTCTGTAATTTTTTTGAACACAAACAATCCGTCTGTCCATTTTCCGTCACTTTTCCGGGGCCGGGTTTCCGTAGCCGTTCATGCCATGTCAGCTTTCAATTTTCTGGCTCTGGAGCTGTCCGTCAAGGGGGTTTTTGTAGCCAGCGGTTTCTGTAAAAGCGCTTTTTTTTCTGCTATCTTTCTTGGCATTCTGTTGCCATCCGTTAGGGACTTTGCCATTCCGGTAGTGTTCCGTCGGTCAGCGGCAGTTTCTGTTAGAGCCAGTTTTTTCCAAGCGGATTTTTCTCTGTGTCCAACAACCTTTGCCTCCAGATTCGGGCCACAACACTGATATAACGAGTTCCAATATTTCAACATGTTTAAATAACGCATGTCTACCTATTTGTAGTCCACGCCATCATCAATAAAGATGCATAAATAAATAAATATACATAAATGCTGCCTCGGCCGGTACTCCTTGCCAGACAGGGGATGCAACCCACTATTCTTTCCCGGCCATCCCTTGCAAACGCTAGATTACTGTTATTAACAAGCAATCCCCCGCTGCTTTTTCCCGGCCAACCAATAGCTGGTACTCCTTGCAAATGCTAGACTACTGTTATTAACACACCCTGGGCCCCAAGGATATCCCCCACTGCTTTTCCCCAGCCAGGCCATGGCCGGTACTCCAGCCGAGCAAAATAGCAATCCCCCCCGCCCCGCCTTGACACGATCTTGGACAAGCAGCAGCCACCCATGCACACTGCAAACCCGACGACAGTGGTTTTTCCCCAGCCAAGCCAGGGCTAGTACTCTAGCCGAGCAAAACAGCAATTCCCCGGCCCCTCCTTGACACGATCTTGGAGAAGCAACAACCGCCCATGCACACCACGAGCCCAACAACAACGGCTTTTTCCTAGCCAGGCCACGGCTGGTACTCCAGCCAAGCAGAACAGCAATCCCCCCCCACCCCGCCCTAACACGATCTCAAACAAGCAGCAGCTACCTATGCACACTGCGAGCCCGGGGACAGCGGCTTTTTCCCAGCTAGGCCATGGCCAGAACTCCAGCCGAGCAGAACAACAATTCCCCCGCCACGCCACCTTACACGACGATCTCGGAAAAGCAACAACTACCCATGCGCACTGTGAACCCGGGGACAGCGGCCTTTTCCCAGCCAGGCCACGGCCGGTACTCCAGCCGAGCAGAACAACCATCCCCCCACCCCGCCCTGACATGATCTCGGACAAGCAGCAACGGCCCATAGACACCGTGAGCCCTAGCAACAACAGCTCTTTCCCGGCCAAGACACGGCCGGTACTCCAGCCGAGCATAACAACAATTCCCAGGCCCCGCCTCGACACGATCTTGGATAAGCAGCAACTACCCATGCACACTGTGAGCCTGGCGACCGCGGCTTTTTCCCGGCCAAGCCACAACCGGTACTCCAGCCGAGCAGAATAGCAATCCCCATCTGCCCCGCCCTGACACGATCTCGGACAAGTAGCAGCCGCCTATGGACACTGCGAGCCTTGGCAATAGCCGCTTTTTCTTGGCCAAACTGCGGCCGGTACTCTAGTCGAGCAGAACAACAAACCCCTGCCTTACCCCGACACGATCTCGGAGAAGCAACAACCCCCCATGCACACCACGAGCCCAGCAACGCAGGCTTTTTCCCGGCCAAGCCATAGCCGGTACTCCAGCCAAGCAGAACAACAACCCCCCCCCCC